ATATTCAATTTATTCCTTGAATTAACTTGCGTTTTATAACGTTATTGCATCGGTTAAGAGGTCAAATACAGCATTGTCGAATTATCGTATTAATAACCATTAAATCTATTTACCAAAAAAAGTACTAGCGACAACAATATGATACTTAATCATTTCAATTTTATTACTAGCTTCCTCGAAAACCACGTTCTCAGCCCTGCGCGGCGATGTTTTCACGTCAAACCGTTCAAACACAAAACAATATTAAAAGAATCGTATTACTGCGTGCGACATATTCAGTTTATAACGTTTTAAGCCGACAAGTTTTAACCGACAATAAACTTGTCAGTCATGTTACTAATTAACCAAGTGACAAGCGATATTCGTCCAGGACCACGCATCATAGATCTCATTGTTCTATTGTAATGGTAAATCGAAATTGACAGACGTTGCGCAAGTGTCGTATGGAAGTTGTTGCAATTTAATTGGAACCAGAATGGAATTGAGCTAGAGTGTTCCACAAAGGTCACGCATGAGCACAGTAAGTGACAGTAACATAAACACTTATGTACGTACATATATCAGTGCGCATCGAAACTATTTACCGCCTTATTTTACTTAATAATGAATGAACTGTAAATTCTGTTAATTAATTGAATAAGTTAAATGATCAATAAATTTGTTTTAAGACGCCGGTTAATCAATAAATCGGTTTGTACGATTTACGTAGTTGAATATGGAAATTGTTGAGTGCTACAAATTACTTTTCGGATTAATTGATCTTTAAGTAAGAAATAATAAGAAAACCCTCAGCATCTCTTTGTCACTGTAACGTCACCGTCATGAGGCAAGAACTCAGAGTCTTAGTAGATCCTAAATTTAAGTGTGTAATTCAATTGCTTTCTTATAATATTAAAATGGTTAAGTACTGTTTGACGGACGGTTCGCTCTCGCAGTGGACGATTTCCAATGGTATTTTGAATTAAACTTTGTCATTTTTTTTTTATTGCCCTTGTATTTATGGGTATTTCATTATAATAAATGTTTTTTTATTTTATTTATTCAAACATCGTCAGTTATTGTCACATCACAAGCAAGACGCGCTCAGTACAATGTGTATTGGACCGTGTTGCTATTAATCACAATCGACGTGAATGTTATCAACGTATTTGATTCATGACAGATCTTAATATATCATTAGTTCGATTGATCGGAATAATTTAATTCTCATATTCAAACATACGAATTGACCTTCAACAAATTGAAATTGTGTTAATTAATATAGTTGAGTTTTTTTTTTAAAATAATCTATTAGTTGTATTGTTTATAAAATACTTAAAATCATAATCGTCGTATATATTTATACTGTGTAATAAACTGCAGATACAATACTAATTAGCATAATATGTGAAAATACCGGTCAACGACGCACTCCACCAAGCTACAGAACGGGATCGATAGTGACAGCTAGTTGATGGAATCGGACGGAGTCACGATCCTCAGCAATAAGGGAATGATTGTTGCCCACTGAGTTTCTCGCCGGATCTTCTCAGTAGGTCGCGTTTCCGATCCGGTGATAGATTCTGCAAAGCACTGCTCTTGCTAAGGCCAGTGTTAGCAACACTCTGATTTGAGCCCCGTGAGCTCACATACACACGTTAGGGCGAAGCTGAAATAGCCACTCAAGGCTATCAGCATAGGTAGGCGAAAAAAACTGATTGAAGAGAGAGAGAGTGACACGTTCAATACGTATTTGTGTCGAAGCGTCTCGAGAGCTTTCAAACCTGTCATTATTCAAATTTAACAAGAACTTGGTCTAATCGGAAATATAGGAAAGTGGATCCGAAACTCGTTCGTATGTCAAGGTTAACTTATACGTCCACTTTGCATATCGGCCTTTTAGCTGTATCATGTCGAGCATATGTCGATTTATTTGACGCGAGAGCAGCCACGGTCGGAGACCGCGTGGGAACTAAGTGTCGGCCCTCGGCTAGTCAATACTTTTACATGCAGCACTATGTTTATTTACGGGGCGCGACCAGTGTTGACCGTGTAGCGGTAGCTTTAATAGAACTTGAAATATTTTGCAAATACCTGAATCGCGCTAACGTAATTTTCACTTTTAACCAAGACGATATCTAGCGATATAATAATGTGTATTTACGTATATACATACAAGTACCGAATGAAATTTTAGCCGCTCGGCGGATGATCTTTGCGTTGTCGATTCCGCGAATCTTTACAGAGTGCATTATGGAAACTTAGTTTTTATGTCAAACTTCTCACGCAATCCGAACTTTGAGTAAAGTGTACATATACCTTAAAGAAAAACGGTGGTAGGGTACGATGAGCCTGGTACTAAACTTCTGCATATCTATGCTAAAGCAGTCCTGTATTCCAGATCAAAGGAAGGTGAAACCGTGATAAATTAGATTTGAAACTTCGAACCCTGACTGGTGGGTAAGCACAGGGGGCTCAGCTTGAAAGAATTTGCTAAGATCAGCCGTAACAAGAGCTTCGCTGAATCTATAACCGGATCGGAATCGCGACCCACTGAGAACATCCGGCGAGAAACTCAGTGGGTTATATCTATGGGCTAACTTGCGCATTGAATGCGAGGTCGACAAAGCGGTGATCCTCTCGGGGTTGATGTTAGGTGGCGGTTCTCGTTGTGATGTCTACAGATTCTCAGCTCTGGCAAATATTACAAAACCAGAATCCCTGAATTTATCTAGTACTATATAAATATAATATGGTAAATTTATCTAACAAGTATATTTATAGAGATATGGTGTGACTTAACTAACCACTCCTTCGAAAGTCACACTATTTCTTCCATTTAAACCAGACGCGTATAATAGAATAGGTCGGATCATGCAATACATGATATATCAAGTGCGTACTTCACTAACATAGTCTGTAAAGAGTATAAGGGATGGAGTATCACACGAGACTCATTCAAAAAGGTCAGATAAAATAGTCTAGATTGTTTAGGTTTTTTTTTAAGAGAAAAACAAGAACAAAGAAGCTTTCTAGTTTGAGGTTAAAAATTTAAAAAGTAGTGAAGTAAAATGCGTATCATTTTATTTATCTAGTACATTTTTTTTCGTCGTCGTGGTCTAAAGGATAAGACGCCCAGAGAACTCGTGTCGAATAATGCCACTATGTGTTCAAATCTCGCACGGAGAACAATTTCGGGTAATAAAATTTTAATTCGTGTATCACGCAACGACGATACTCTCTCCCTACGGTATTTTAGTAAGTTTTTTTTCTGAAGCACACGCTGTATTTTAATGTCACGGTTCGTAACCAAATTTTTATTGATAATCATCTTAAAGTTCCAAAACTACAATATCGGGTATCCGAAATGCATGCGCGGTAATCACAATGGTGCTTTGTGTCAACTATGAAGGGACAGGTTTACTGTGAATGACCTAGTTTGAACTATATTGTGCAATAACACGACTGTAATTTGTAGCGCCCTACACGTGTGGGTTGGTCGGTCGGAACTTATATTACAATCATAAAACGAACATTAACGTAAAGAATTGAGTTGATACTAGTACAGATTGTGGGAAAACGAAGATAAATGTTTATTGACGATTGGGATTGTATTACTTAGTAAATAAATTTACGACGTGAATTGGTTTACTGTATGTAATTTGAATTCCCAAGTGCATGCATGTGTTCCAGTAGTTTTATTGGTGGACGAGCTTTATAAAGTTTATGAAAAAATATTGAATATAATATCGAGGAGCTTTTTTTATATTGCCCTTGTTGACAGACGAACATACGGCCCACCTGATGGTGAGTGGTTACCGTCGCCCATGGACTTCAGCAATGCCAGGGGTAGAGCCAAGCCGCTGCCTACCGACCAAGCTGCTGCCTACATTTTTATGCGACATTTCGCTTAGCACGCGACATTTATCTTTGTAATTAAAGGTGCGTTTTATTTGATTTTAGCATCAAGAGTTCGATGATTGTAATTTAACTTCAATTAAGTTTAATCCATTTAAATAGCCGAAAAAGTGTTTTTTGTTATGAATTTTTTTTCCTAAATTTTAAACTCTAAATTGGTCTCCTGTAAAGTTCCAAAAATGTCATTTAAACCAAATAGCCTTGGACCCTTCAATATATATTATATGGTAACTTTAATATTCTTTCAGCATAATATTTTGACTCATCGGTGCAAAGCCGGGGCGGGGTGCTAGTCATTGATTTTAACGTTACATTCATTTATTTTGTACTAGCGGTCTGCCCTGGCTTCGCTTGGGTAGTAGCGCACGCGATGTTAAGAATTTTAGGTATTTTTTACACATTGGGTTACATTATTGGAGTTTTAGTAAGGATCCCTAATTTTTTTGAAAATATTATCAATATATAGCCTATGTCATCCGGGAACAGTATAGCTTGCCAAAAGTGAAAGAATTTTGTAAATCGGTTCAATAGTTTCGGAGCCAATTCAATACAAACAAACAATCAAATCTTTCGTCTTTATAATATTAGTATAGAAGTATAGATAGCTGATAAATTAAAAGAAGTCCTAAATTTTATCATCATCATCATCATTTCAGCCTATCGCCGTCCATTGCTGAACATAGGCCTCTCCAATAGATTTCCAGTGTGACCGGTCCATTGCCACCTGCATCCAACGAGACCCAGCGCTTTTTACTAAGTCGTCGGTCCAATTTTATATAAGAAGTTATATCTAGCTATTAATAATACAAAATTAATTTACTTTGTACACAAATCTTTTGGTTAAAAGATCTCAGATGCTATGATTTACCAATAAAATCCTTTTTTTAAGTATCACTATTAAAACTAACCTGCACTATGGATCCATCGGGCAGCCCAAATTAACACGGATCCATTTTTAGTATTACTGCGGTTACAATTTAGATGATTGCAGAAAACATGTTTGTGCTTTGTACTGAATATTCCACGGGGAGTGTTCGGAGGAATTGTTCGAGAGCATCCCTCTTAATAAAATCCTTCTTTTAGTTATCACTATTAAAACTAACCTGCACTATAGATCCAACGAGCAACCCAAAACACAACGCAATGCTGGTGGTGTGGGGCGCTGTGCTGGCGTTGATGGTGATGCAGGCGGCCACGCCAATAGAAGTAAGGAGGAAGGTGCCGACCAGCTCCGCGACCAGCTGCCTCCAGATCAGCTTGTTGTCCGTTACATCTGACAGCCCGATGATGGAGCTTGTCTCTGTTGACAAATAGATTATGATCATTGACGTTAAGAGCTATTTTTGAAACATCGACGGATGAATTCATTGCGCATCTGAGTTAAGAAATTTACCATATTTAATACAGGATAAACGCCACTTTTTTTCTATTGCTTAGATGGATGGACGAGCTCACAGCCCACCTGGCGTTAGGTGGTTACTGGAGCCCATAGACATCTACAACGTAAATGCGCCACCCACCTTGAGATATAAGTTCTAAGGTCTCAAGCATAGTTACAACGGCTGCCCCACCCTTCAAACCGAAACGCACTACTGCTTCACGGTAGAAATAGGCAAGGTGATGGTACCTGCCCGTGCGGATTCACAAGTGGTCCTACCACCAGTAAATGGGGTCCTACTACCAGTAAAGAGGTCCTACCACCAGTAATGATCCTACCACCAGTAATGATCCTACCACCAGTAAGAGGTCCTACCACCAGTAAGCCACTTTCTACCTCGAGACATAAAAATAATATTGATTATATAAAACTCATAATAATTTCGTAGTCTAAACGGGTGGAACATATAAGATAAGAATTATTGGGTTAGCCATGAAGATATTTTTAAATACTTCTTTTATCGATCTATGATTTATTATCTATATATTAATACGTGAAGCAAAAACTTTGTATCCCTTTTTACGAAAATTGCGTGGACGGAGAAGTATGAAATTTTCCACACTTATACAGAATATAGAGAAGAAGTGCACTGTGCTAATATTTTTTTAAAATAATGCATAGATAAGAGAATAATGCAAAGATACATTAAATCAATAAAGAAAACATTACACACACTACATACCATGTATTTGACGCACACACGCATGCATACTATTTATTGTCAAACTTTTGTTCTTGACGTCAGTGGTCAAATTGAGAATATTAAATATTGTTTGTCTTTATTAATATTTTTTATAGTGTAGCCTTGGCGAAATTTGTAATTATAGAAGTATAAAATACAATCATAATAGTGTACAAACATACAATTCCAATTAATTATAGTCGAATTTCGACTACTGCGGGACCTCTAGTTGGCTATAATGACGAGAAATTATATTAGTGAAACTATCACTTCTCTAGCAAACTAAACCCATGAAAACCTAAAAACTATCAGTTGATATTGAATAAATATCGCACAATGTTTAATATGGGACCAATTACTTAAAAAAAAAACGCCTTAATGATCATTCGTTGCAATCGAAGGAAATAGCACGAATCGTATTACACGTCGATTAGAAAGAAAATCTACGTTCACATTTCTCAATTACACCAATTACGTTCGCTTCGATATTTACAGACGAGTCTACATCAAAGCGATTTTCCATGACTTAATGTTTAATTACAAGCAACTATTAAGAATGAAAAAAAACGGTTTGCGTTGATTTTTCAAAACAATAACTTTGTTTTATTATTTATATAGCTTTTATTATTAAGAGAAGGAGATAATCGTAGAAGTCTTAAATTCCGCAACAGATATATATACAGATATATAACAGGTAATATAACAGGTATAATATAACAGGTAATATATGATATTTATATAATATAATGAAATCATAGATCACGATTCAGTTAATTTATTTTAATTGAAAATCGTAACGCAGAATAATCTAGAAGTATGTATGTTCGGGCACCGTAAAATTTAATGTAACAAAAAAAATAAAAATATAAAAATACTTCGTCTAAGAAACTTCAAATAATTTTTTTAAGCGGAATTAATGAAAAACTCTGTAAATTGACGTCCTAAAAACCAGCAGGTCGTAAACGTAATATTCGCGGAATTAATGTTAAAGATCTTCACGAGATCACGGAGTAGTTCGTATATTAGTAATAAATATTGTAATTGACTTCGATGGAAAACACATTAGACCGAACGGTTTGCGATCAACTTGACTAATGGAGAAATAGGGATTAGAACTTTCGAGAAATCTCGTATTTCGTTTCACTTTCAGTAAGTACTTCCTAAAAATGTTATAAAGAATGATAAATTTAAACATTCTTCGGGAAGATTTTGAATGGAGTTTTAGAAAAAGAAATAACACTAACTAAAACACATTCGGAATAATTCGTTGAATGAAAATATTTATTTCTCTAGGCACTGTTATGTTCTTTTTTGAAATTCATAAAACGAGAAAAATCATGACAAACTAACATAGCAAATAACAATTGTCGATAGCAAACAGTAAACACAAATTGAACAACAAGCTATTGTCTCTGTCATTTTAAATGTCTTATCTATATCTATATGTAGGTAGTGTTTTACTAATAGGTTTAATGAGAAAGCTATAATTCTAAATCGTGGTTTTTATTAGTATTCTAAAGTAAACCTGTTAATTAGTCTTAACTAACAGGTGGTTTATTAACAAAAACATAAAGTATTCATATGAATTTTATTTATTCATTCATACGCAAATAATACTTGCAAAGAAATATTAAAAAAATATGTTTTTTTCTTTATAAAGTTAAAAAGACCAAATTTAAATATTTAGCCCGTTCTTCTTATTATATTTATTTTAAGATTTTTCTTATTTCGGTCAATTGCAATGAATGTTTACGGATTTTCTATCGAAAACCCATATTTTGCTTTTTGCATAATCAGATAATGATTAATTCTTACTTCGATGAATTTATAAATGCGAAGCAATTAATGCTTCATTTACACTATTGTATGGCGTATAATTAACTATTCGAGATGATTTGACAGCGGAGATTGATTGCCAGCAATTGCTATAGGAATGGTCATTACTCATTTCATTGAACGATCTATTTAATGTAATAAAATCGATTTTAGTATAGTTAAATGCATATACATATTTATCATCTGACTAATTACAGATTCATGTCTTCATAAGTCACAGAATTCCCTAATTAAAGAAAGATCATAAAATCACGTCGGGTCTTAAATAAAAAAAATAAAAAAATTGCTTGTCGAAGTAAGATTACGATGCGGAACCTAATCTGTTTCACTAATATTTTTTATACGAACGTATCTCAAACAGGTGTTATGTTAATTGATATCTATCACAATAGGAATACTTCAATGGCGTCTTTTTTTTGTTTAATTTTAAATATACGCAGTGCGAATCGTTGGAGCGCGATGTTTCAACTATAAAAACAAATATATGTAATAGTAGCCTTGTGATAAGATTGTCAATGTAAATATTCACTGTATACTTGTGAATGTAGCAACTGCCCTTAATTACTTTTCGCATTAATATCAATTCAATCTAATGTCGTAATATTTTTTTTTTTACCAAAACGTTTATCTGTTTTAAAGTATATTACAAAAATATTATTATTATGACAAAATAACACGTGTCTTTGTCTTGTGGCTTTTTTTTAAATTACAATAAAAAATATTAAGAATTTTTGTATGTACCTCAAATTATATTTACTTACTCTTCTGCATTTCATCCATAGCGTAATCCGTTTTCATTTTAATAAATAATAGGCACTTTCTATCGTCAGACGATTGCTTTATGAGCACCTAAACCGCACAATTGCAACAAAGTGAATAAGAAAATTTTAATCAACGCGAATACGCAATTTGTAATTGAAAAATTCCGAAGACGCTTGATAGTATTGTGTTTCGCTGTTTAGGAGTTCGTGCGCAGACCACCTCTCGGCTTCAAGCCGTACATTCGAATGAGCCGAGAGACACGGGGATGACAGGTAAAGTCGGTCGGTGACTGCACCTGATTTTTTATTCAAAACGTATCTGCAACTCTTTTTGAGCGCGGTATCAGCGAATCAACTAGATTCGACACAATACAATATACGACGCTTGCAGCTGAAAGTAAGTATTGTACTTTTTGACGAAGCATGCTGCTGATAACTTTATTTCTGTAATCTGACGAAGCATGTTGCGGATAATAACATGTACTTTTAGGTTAGGAATATTGTGTTCTTTTTTATAATAAAAAAATTGACTGATTATTCTCATAAAAAAAAAAAAACTATACAATATACACCATACATATATTTGCGTGCTAATAAAATTTGTAACTCTAGATTCTTAATTCTTACATTTAATATTTTTATTGTACTCATTATAAAAAAAATATTAAGGCAAATACGTTTTAGTCTCAGACCAAAAATTCAATAGAAAATTCGTGACCTACTTTTTTTTTTCTTTGCTAAAGAGAAACATTCGATATCATTTAATATACAAGTTCCTAAAATTAATTATATACCATTAAGTCAATTCTAGTTTGTTCGTGATTTTTCAATAACGGTATTAAAAAAAAGTTTAAAATAAATATTGATTTTATATAAATTGAGAATTCAGTCAGTTCGGACGTTTAAAATTATGTAGTCTGAATATTTCATCGAAATTTCTAAGATTTCTCAAATGGAATGTCACTTTCCTCGAATCTTAATGATAATTAAAAGTGTATCAATTAATTTTATCGTTGCCGTTTTGAGTCCTTTTCTCATCAAAAACATACAGCGGATTATAAAAAAACAAAAAAGCATAAATAGGTATTTAAACACTGATGACTTTCATATGATGGTATAATAAAAACCAGCCGTATTAGAAGTCAGAGCGGTCAGAAAACTATGCATACTGATTTGAAGGGTCAAACAACCGTTATGCAATAGATACAACCGAGACCTCATACCTCAAAGCAGGTGCTTTACGCTCCGGTAGATACAGTAGTAAATGAGAGCGAACTCATTGAAAATTGCATATTAATTGACCATTAGTTGTGTTTATGGTACACAGCATCTTGGCTCTATTTTCAGCAATGTCATAGCAAATACTTCAAATTTAAACATCTAAAACAGCTACAATACGAATCTATACTTCTATACAAAATCTTTCCTCTTTATAATATTAGTATAGATAATATAATATTATAAAGAGGGAAGATTTGTTTGTTTGTTTGTATTGAATAGGCTCCGAAACTACTGAACCGATTTGAAAAATTCTTTCACTGTTTGGATGCCCCACTATTCCCGAGTGACATAGGCTTATAATC